ATTCAATTTTCAACACTTAATGTGCAAGAATCAATGATTCCAAAAGGTAGGTCAGAAAAGTATTAAAATTAAGTAAGGGGCAAAGTTTTGCAGCTGCCACACGGCACTTGACATCTGCCATTCTTAAGTATAGAAATCTGGAAAAAGGGGAATCCTATAAAAGGATAATTATAAACTTCAAGCTCTAACAAAATCAAGCTGAGATAAAATCTGTATAACCCAAAATAAAGTTTGTATTTATTAAAAAAATCAAATCATTTCGACGTGAAATTTGTTCATATGTCAATGTACAGTACGCTCACCGCGGGTTTTGCTTTTTCCGCGATACCACCGCGGACGATTTTTTTTTATCGCGGACAAACGCGGGGGTTCGTCCGCGATGAGAAGCCTAATTTCCCCGCGATCCCCGGTGTTCAGTTGTTTCCACCGCGGACAAAATTCTGACGACCGTTCTTCATTTATCGATAAAATCAGTCACCCGTTTCCCGCGGGGGAACGCCATGGTCAGTTGGTCAGTATAAATTAACCTCCAAAAATAATAGACGTTTTATCATTTTTTAACGTCATCTTTTTTACACAATGACTTGAAAATTGACCACAATCGTCTCCTTAAATGTTATTATACGTTAAATTATTTGAACGGAATTTGAAATAAAAATAATTACAGCTGTACCTGTTTTTGTTGTTGTTTTTAATACTTTCGTTATAAACGTCCACAAAACTATTCGTCCACATACCAATATTTTTACATTCAACTGAAATCGTCATTTATCACTGTCATCTTTACTTGTTTCCATTCTTGTGGTTCTATAAGTATTATTGCCGTTAAACTATATGGGAGCCATAAATATGATAAAAAAGGACATTTGTGCTGATTTTTTCAATATTGACTGACGCTACAGTACATGTCCTGTAAGAGGTCGATGAGTGTGAATACAAGACAGGACATAAATAAAAAACATGTACATATATTAGAATAAAAGAAAAAGATATTTAAACCATCTATAAGAATTATTTGTATGCAATTATATTCTTTAAAAACGAGTAGACTTGTTTTTTGTGTTTTTTCTTTACAGTAAAAATCCCGTCGAAAATGGACATGAGAAATATGCATGACACTTACCAAAAAGTTTATGTATACTGTACATACCGTATATATATTTGACTCAAATTCAAAAAGATTCTCTTTGCCATCATGTCAGATATTGTCGGATATTGTATATTGTCAGATATTGTATATTGTCATATTTTTTATGATCAACATGCAAATAAACAGAAACAGTAAAACGCATCTGACAATTGAAAGAGACGTCCTGGAATATTGCCTGAATAAAATTGTTGAGGGTTACGTTTTCAAAGTTTTTAAATAAGAAACAAAAGCTGGCATATAAATTGTTGTAGTATCTTTTTCATAAATGTCATATGCCGAATTTTTCATTATTTGACTTCAAGTTTCTCAGTACCATGAAGTTGCGACGACAATGATTTATCTTGATGTCGAATACATATTATACATTACCCAACACAATAACAAGAAGAAGAACAAGAAAAACACTGCATTTGTACATGTACTTTTATTACAACAAAAAAGAAAGAAAACAAATTTTACATATAGTTATACATGTATATGTACAGTACATGTTACAGTACATGTACGTACGTATACTGATGTTGAAATACAGTAATTAATTTTTAAAATTTAAGGTTTCCACCGCGTTGACCGGTGTTTGACCGCCGCGTTCCTCCGCAATTTACCACTGCGTTCCGCGGGGGAAACGGTTTCAGCCGCCGATATATGTCCGCGGTGGTGAAAATTTTCTGTCCGCGGGGTACGCGGACAATATCTGAGCAAATTTTCGTCCGCGGTAAACCTCATCCGCGGGGTCACGCGGGTTTTGAAAAAGTCGCGCTGAGCGTACTGTATGTCAAAGATTAATTCATAATGATAACAAAATTGCTTCGTACTTACATAACATAAGACTAAACACCAAATTCATCGTTTACGTGACTTGTTTTGGCAATCTGTCGAATTAAAAAAAAGTCTTTTCTAAATCATAATTCAATTTAAATATTCACAATGCACATATTAACAACGTTCAGATAGTTTTATTCTACATTATGTCTCTTTTACAACGTTCAGATAGTTTAATCCTACACTGTGTCTCTTTTACAACGTTCAGATAGTTAAATTCTGCATTATGTCTCTTTTACAACGTTCAGATAGTTTAATTCTACATTATGTCTCTGTTACATTTCTGTTTTCACTACCCTATAAAATACAAGGTATTTTATCAGAAATCGGGTTTGAAGATAAAATACAGCAAAAACACTTAAGCATTATCATTCCAAGAAATATCAGATTGATAGAAATGCTTGTAAATGATAATAAAACTTATTTTGAATTTAGAATGTAAGATCTAAAAGATATTCTTATAAATGTGATTTTGTAAGTGGATTTTTTTTCATAACATTTTTTGTCATGGGCGTTATCTGTACGACGATGACTGTCTACTCGTAACTTGTTAGACCATCAGACGGCCTGTGGTGCATGATTCATATTAATTTATACCCATGATAGATTATAAATTAGATGGTGTTTCAACATTCAAAATTTACGATATCAATATACTAACGATAGGTTAAGTTTTTAAACATGTTACAAACTTGTTCTATTTAAGGTACCAAACAAAAGTTTTATCACATGATAGACAGAATGTTTAGCTTGGTTAGGCTGATTTGACCATTTTGATAGAGCAAATATATATCAAAGTATATTAAAACTATAATTTGCATTCTTATACTATATGAAAATGGTTTTAACAAAAGGCAATTGGCAAAGCAAAATTATGCAATTGTTTGTATTTTAATCATACGTTTTCAATGCGTAGGTATTTATCGATTCGTTCAGAATACGTGAACAATAATATAATCTTTAGACAATTGAAGGGATTTTGTGAGAAAAACTAAGTCTTGTAGTTTTTACGTTTTTAATTAAGCAACTCGCATTCATTTCTGGATGGCCTTCGTATTTGCCATGCAATCGCTGTGGCAAATTTTTCTACATCAAATAACAAAAATACACCCGTCCAGTTATATTTGTTATTCCAATAACTTTAGTCTATCGGCCTTCTACAGTACTGACATTTACATTGTTTTTTGGGTTTTTTTTACTGTTTTCTTGTCAAAAATTAAATACAAAAAACAGGTTTTCTTATCTTAGTAAATACACAATTTATTATGTTAAGGCAGATTCTAGATAATGACGAATTTTATAAAGAGATAAATTTTGTAACGTTTCTTCAGTTCATATCAATGTTGTTGGGTTTTATTGTAGGAATCTACATCTGTTACGTTCAATTTGGGCTATTTGGAAGAGAAACGAAATCAAAGCGAGAAAAAATGACCACCATCTACCAGTTGATGCTTATGTTCCGGGCGGGGGATTTTGTTTTGTTTTCAAACATTATTTCTTTGTACACTATAAAACTTATATGGCGACTTAAAACTTTAACACGCCAGGTTTATTACCTTATACCATTTATTATATCGTTTATCAAAAATAAGAACTAGATAGTTTTCATTATTTATTTTAAACAATAAGAAACTAAATCTGCAAGTGTACTAAGTAGCTACAAAACATATTAAGCATCCAGCATTGCCCTATTGGACAGTACTAGAATTACATGAATAACTGACTTTGATTAATAATGTCCATGTCTTTATGCAACCCATTAATCTGATTGTAAACGTATTTCTTCGACATTTGGCAATAAATATCAGGTTACAAAATCATTTTGACTATGTCACTAAAGTGTCTGTTTCATCCATGCTGACTGAATAAAACACGATTATCTTCTGTCCATGTCAACACGTGTAAAAAAATACACGTAGAAAGTTATATCCAAACGATACCTGATAGTTGACACTGATAAAGGGAACGAAATTCTGACCAAAAAAGTAATCAAGGATAGCCGAAGGGGGGGGGGGGGACTTACACCGAACGTTACGGCAAATGGCGAATTTCACTCGTCATTTTTAACATACCGTCGGATTTGGCCATTTTTTAAAGTAGCAGATCATGTTAAATTGTTATATATATTATATTCTTAGAGACCGTACACTCGGATAATAAGAAACGGCAATAAGATATAGGAGAAACATCTATAGAAGTAGTTACATGATAGGAAACATGAGCCACAATCTCAGACCCCGTTCATCATTGATAAACAATTAAAGCAAACATGTGTTTTCTCAGGTAGTACCTCCCTAATCTGCAAAATTGTTCACTAAATATGAACTTTTCTCTTTTTTTCCCTCGGTACGTCTACGTCGTTGAGAAGACACAGGACATCGGCAGATGATTGAAGAACCAATGCCTCGTGAAAGTCGGCACGTTTGCATGTTTTCTAAAGCTCGGGGAAACGTTTAAGGCGGCACGACTTAGCTTGCATGAAGTTAACTGCCCGTGTCCTGACTAAAGCCGAGGGGAGTGGCCTTGCAAAGTAGGCTCTGAGTTGACGAGGATGGTGTGCTAGGGTGCGTGAGCCCCTAGAACGAATTACGGCTTGTAAGGCACGCTTTTTGCTTGGCATCAACAGCCCTTTTAAGGGCTACCTCCTTTCATTATTGTCTTAGGTTACTATACATTTAGGTTCTTAAATTTAGCCGTTCAATGACCTACTTATGGCTCAAAATTCATATCTTTTGCTCATACTCCGTGGAAATTACATGGAAATAAATTACCACCACTTTGTACTTCAAAATTAACTCTTTAAGGGCATGACTAGTGATATGTCTAGGGTCCGTACTCGACAGAGAACGCTGCATCTTGTGCCCTTACGGCCGGATGGACCCTCATTAAGCAAAGACTACAGACAGACTGAATATGAAATAAAGGCAGCGTTACTCATTTGCCAATTATTTGAATAATCTTTTGCATCGTTTTGTTTTTAGCAATAGGTACAGTAACATAGTGATTTAGTATTTTGTATGGAAGTTAAAACACTACATTCTTTACATTTTGCTTCTTTCATGACAAATAATTTCACATTCAACGCTACTTCTTCAGGTAATAAGCATCTAACATGCTCTAACACCATTATTTTGCGATATAAAACTCATGTTTGCTCTTTCTAAAGGAAATATAAATATTTATTTGTTTCTGAGGCATAATGTGCCTTCAAAACCAAATGGAGATTTGTCACCTGGAAGTTAACTCATATATAATTTTCAAGATTGGGAATTGCATAAGCTACAGCTTATCTTATTATTGCTAATGAAATATTCCAAAGAATAAAAAATTACTGTGTTAACGGTATTTTCAAACACTAAAAATGGTGTTTATTCTGACGTACAAAAAGGTTTTAAGTTTATCATATTTCTTTGTAAAATATTTTTCTTTAATATCGTTTTTGCTTATTTATACTGTTGGTTTGTTTGTGTACTAAGATGTTCGAAAGTGTTGGAACGTGTTACCGTCTCAAGTGCCCTTATACAAAGGTAGTGATGTATTATCAAGATTAGAGGATTGAAAAAACGTCCTACTTTTTTTAAATACATGTATTTTCTTTACATTGTATTATTGTACGGATTATAATAAATGAAAGACAACAAATATATTTGGAAATGTTAGTGCACGTACCTTGATAAATATATCCAATACTCGAACAGTATGTAGTATATTTGCTTGTATTCATAAAATTCATTTATCTACATGTATATGATTTATAAACTTCCGGCTAGTATGTATATTTATATCAGTCAAGTTTACGTTTTACCTTTATATTACTCTTCGTGTTTACATTATCGTACATACTTCAAACCAGGAATTAAATATGTATATATACACAATACAAATGATCTTTTAAAGCAACCATGAACCTGAATTTAAGTTTACTGATATTTGGAATATTCATTTCGCTCTCAGAAGGTAAGCTTAAATCACAGTATTTTCATTTGTATAACTTCAATAACTTCAAATGTTAAAGCTGCATTTATAAATTTCATAGTTCTTTTTTAAGGTTTCCTATCGGCATTTCTTCTTATGTTAGATATCTAGGTAGCGTAAATATCTGCAACATCCGTATGACGAAATAAAAAGTACAATTCCACTTTGCATCTGGGTCATTTGATTTCAATAGTAGATCATTATATGTCAAATTAGTTATTTTTAAAATCTCAAGTCAAAAGTTCCGTGCAAATGAATTGTTGGGAACGGAGGTTGTATCTTTAAACTACCAATAGCGACATTCAAATGGGTTTTCCATCAAAGTTCGAAAATGACCGCGAACAAAATAGTATGAATAACACAGAACAGATACGATATTTTGGTCTTACCTAGCTTTTGAAATTTAAACATTTAAACAAATATATTATGTAAGATTAAAACTTGATTTAATTTTTAATTATTTTAAGGGGAACATGAATAAAGTAGTTATAAGTTTATGACGGTAATTAAGTACTACCTAAACCGGTCTTGCCAATTATATTGCTGCTGAAAGGGTTTGTCTTCCGTTTTTAATGTGACTTATAGACGTCAAAAATCACCACACAAATAGCATAATTTTATAGTTAATGTTTTTTAAACTATTTGTTGTTTCAGTCTTAGGCTTTTAGTGTTTTATAAAAAAAACATTGTTTTAGTGTACCTGTTTGCAAACATAAGGAGGGTAGATCATTGAACACATACTTGAATATTGATAAGAGCACATATTACTCATATAGTCGATGTGTGTTTATTTATAGGTTTATATGATAAGTTTGTCATTGCTTTTCGTTATTTACCTTAACCTTTATAATGGTAAAAACAATGATTTCAATTTGGCTAAATGAAGTAAACCTTATTTCGGTTTGGCTTAATGAAGTAAATGTAAAGTTATTGTTTTACTTTATTTAACATGTCAATTGCATACTGATTAATCTGTCAGTGCACACGATATATTAATCTTCGATAAGGTTGTGTTATGGTCGCGAGATGTACGCTGCAATATGTGTTTTGATTCTATTTTGGCTATAAGATACTCAAACTGAGACTAAAGGCGCAAAAAAACTTGTACAATTTTCATAAAAATGTGATTACTTTTATGTTGTTGTTTTCGTTTAAATATGTTTTGCACTTATTTTTGAAAAACGTCTTTACTTTTTTAGCAGTATCCTTAAATATAAATATCTAAAATTCAATCGTCATATGATCAGTTAGTGTCTATTAAATTCATTACAATACAAAACGAGACGTAACAGTGTCTCTGAGTTGTTCCTCAAGAAATTGATCGTTTCTATTAGAACATTCAACAAAAATTTAAGAAAAGTTGAAAAGAAAATAGGAACAGTAGGGTTCGAACCGCAGACCACCCTCACTTAACCTACTGTGCTTTTGCAGGTGTGATGAGGGCATGCTTTAAGCTAATGTACATTTACAAAACATAATATATTTAATAATAATTCTCCTTAATTTCACGGGCTAAACCGGAGTGGGCCAAATATTTAAAAGAGTGTTATAATGTATGTATAATTGACAGGTCAATAAAATCAAACTTCACTTCTACTATTTTTTTGAAACTGCAAGCCTTATTGAAGTACCAAGTGCTGGTAATTGTGAAGATACAGTTCTCACATGTCATGCTACTGGTAATAATGGCAATACAGACTGGTATGGATTTGATACAGTTGTTGTAACATGGGATCTGTTTCATTGTTGATTTATTCTATTTATTTGCAGGTACAGCCACTATTCAGGTACCAAGTGCTGGTAACTGTGGTGATGATACAGTTCTATCATGTCAGGTTACTGGTAGTATTAGCTCTACTGGTTGGTCTGGACTAAAGAGAACATTAGTAATCAATGGAGTTGTTGTAAGACCTGAAGACAACAACAAATATACAGAAACCAGGAGAACATCACCGTTCACATTGACAATACACAACACTGACATTACTGATGAGGGAGATTATAGATGTAGTAATGGATTTGATAAGAGTCAGCCAAAACGTATTAATATAGAATGTAAGATATTGGTTAATTAAAACTACTATTGAAAAAAGAAATCTACATTCCTTCATCACTTCATGTCTTGATGTTAAAATAACTCACTCTAATGATTAAATTATGAATCAGTTGTATGAATGTATACATTTTTATCTAAACATTTAGTGACAATTTCTCATATTAGTTTGTTTGAGAAAACTTTCATATTTCAACATAGTTATTATGATACTGTCCGTTTAGGATAATTATTTAGTGACGCAGCAGAAAAATCCACTATTACGGTGTTAAACAGTTATCATGTTGTGTTATTATCTGTAGGCACGCAGGCTTCCGATATAAATTTAAGTATCGACAAATTAATCAACTGTCATCGTAACGCAGTTGGTAACGTTATCAGTTAATATTTTAGTAAAATATCAATGCAAGACTGTTTCGGCTATTATGATAAATATTGATATAAATATTGATTAAATATTTAGTAAGGTGTTTATCAGATTTCTTCAAACAATTACATTTGTGTTATATTTCATGCGGTCACAAATAATATCATGAGCATAATATCGATATCATTTCCGGGGAGTCAGTTTTTAACATCTATGCTATTTTGCTAAATTGGCGCATTTTTCTCATTCGGTGTGCAAAGATAATTAATAATACAAGTTAGCGAGTGTCATAGTGTCTTACAATTGCATGTACAGAATTTGTCTCGCTACGAATACAATCAATCTCACTTTTAATGGTAGTGTAACTTAATATTATTAAATAATTCAAGGTTTTTTTAATATTTTAGAAATTTAAAAATGACAGGTCTGTTTTTTTATATCAGACGTAACTAAAACGAGTGTACAACTTTTCGACATTCATGTTGAGCAAGACAAGTAACATTCAAAATTGTGTTGAAAACTAACGATGTTTAGCTCGAAAATGCTGATTTGGAATGTGAAGCTGATTATTGATTGTCTACCTCAACATTCGTTTCGGAATGACAGTGTAAACAAACTAACACCAATAATTAGCATTTCCTCCGCAAGTGATATGTTTAAAGGAAACCCTAGCATACACCTTTACATCAAATAATGTGTGTGATTCTGTTTATAAAGGTAAAGCATCATCAGCTTCACACAGTGTAACAAGTGGAAAGAAAGTACAGATCACAGTAGATAAACTCTATCCTGCCTCACCAACACTTTCTGCTACATTTAAAATTCAGGTATGCTGTTTATAATTACGAAAAACATCATGATTGAGTAATTATTAATTAACATTGAATTTTCATTATTGTAGCATTTTAAAAGAAATTTCATTGGTAATTTGCTAAAATAGATCTTAGATATATCAAAATTTGTTTTTGCACCCCTTAATGAACAATTGAATTTGCTATATATACATGTGCGGTCAGTTAGTCTCTTAAATGATTATTTTCATTAATATGTGCAGTAAGTTTCTACTTGTTTCATGTTATTGGCATAACAAATATGCATCAATATGTCATTCAACTCCCTGCATGATTCCCATCTTCATCAAAACAGTATAACATCGTATACAAATAATGGATATAAAAATAAATAGTATGC